AATAGAGTTATTTGAAATTTCACGTTTTATTCAACAACAAAAAAAACCATTCTATGAATCTGATAACCTCATTTACGTCTGTAATTTTTACACCAGCGCCTTCGTATGATAAAAGATTGTGAAAATTTCTCATACAACTTAGTAGACTGATGAAAACTTTAGGAAAAAGAAAACTATTCATTCTTTTTTACTATTAAATGAAAAAAAAATTTCATAAATTTTGAACAATAAAACTAAAATTTCTCAATTGATTCATAGTAAGTAGTGTGATGTGATTGTACTACTGAAGTACTGAAATCTGATGATGGTTAAAATTCACTTGTCGTTGTGCTTTTTTCTACATTAGGTCGTTATAACAAAATCTGATCAACTTTGAATTTTGACTATTGTTTTTGTTGAATTATTATACTGTTCCGTAAAATTATTAGAATGTTTAATGGTACTATTGTGGTGCGCGCTACTTATAAGTAGTATATGACGCGAGTGTAAACGTAATGTCTGGCAGCAGAAGATGGGGGAAGATCAAGAAAGGAAGAGTGGGAATACAATGGAATTTGTATGAAACGCATGAATAAGCTAAATGTCAGACAATGGATTGATGATTGATTGAAGATTTGCAAATTAACCGTTTACGATATGGTTTTCCTATTTTACTGAGTAACTCTGTAATTTGCGATAAATACAATTCGGTTGCCTCACCTGTGTTCTCCTTCACTACAGTACTATTAGCTCTCAAGTCACAACGAATTTTTGTTTCAAGTTGATAACAACTGCATCAAAATACGTTAAGATAAACTTAGAAAATTTTTAAATTTAAAACTTCTACACAAAACTTTGTACATACTTTTTTTTTCAAAATATAATTTAAAACTTATCAGAATCACAAAAAAACAATTGAAATCTCATCCAAAAATATTTACTAGTTAACGACTAATCTAAGCATAAAAAAAAGATGTTTTGCGAAATTTCAACCTGAGGCTCTTCTTCTCTTTTTTAACATCTTCGTCAACCTTCTGATGGAAGAAATCAATGTTGCGGTTATTCCTGTTCCCGATCGTCTAGTAGCAGTGTTTTAATTGGACGAATCACAGTGGTCAGGTGTTGACAAATTATATTTTAACAAATTGGAAAATTGTTTAATATAACTGATTTATTACTTTAAGATCGTCAATAAAATCGATACTGCTAAGACACCCATGCATGAAACTAATACAAACGATTTTTTTAGAGATTTATGCATAATTCTTGAGTCGATCAATAAATAGTTAGTCGGTAAATCAGCAAACAAAGTGCTAACTTGGAATTCTCATGGAGAAAGGAGAAGACCAAAGAACACATTACGCCGAGAATTACAAACACAAATGAAAAGACTGAACAGCAGTCAGACAGAACTGGAAAAGAAGACCCAAGATAAAAATAGATTGAAGAATGCCGGTCGACAGCCTATGCTCCATTAGTGGTAACAGGCGTAAGTAGATGAAAGATAAACCAGGAAAGGCTTTCAGGAAAGTCAATAAAATCTGAATGCGTATAGTAGTGTTACAAAATGTTTACAAATTTCCTTTCAATGTTCACAATCAGTTGTTTGTTATTCAATGTGACATAACTCGAAACCGACAGCAGTGGAGTCGATACACTGACCCTTAATCTTCTTACCCTAGATGTTGAGTTTTAAAATCATTTCATACTTTTAACTTCTCAAAAGTTTTTTCTCTTCTCTAAGTGTATTATATATGCCTAATCTCTTTCTACTAATGATTGATACTATTGTAGTGAACGAGAACACAGGTGGGGCAACTGGACTGTATTTAACGAAAATTACAGAGTTACTCAGTAAAATTGGAAAACCATATCGTAAATCGTTAATTTGCAATATATCAGTTCATCATATCGAACTGGACTGTTCCTGTTGCAAAACATCAATCCATTGTCACTACTATTCATCCGTTTCATACAAATTCCATTGTGTTCCCACTCTTCCTTTCTTGATCTTCTCCCATCTTCTGCTGCCAGACATTGCGTTGACACTCACGTCATATACTACTTATAAGTAGCTCACACCACACTATTACTACTTTTACTAATCTTATATTTGTTGTAAAAAGAATATTTGAAAGTATACAAGTTAGAGCACCCTAGACTGATGATATCATTATGTTCCAGATTCTATGATTTTTATGAATGAATAAGTAATGATGCCTATTTGTATTTTTAGAAGATTTTCATTACATTAAATTAGTCATCTGACTGTAAACAAGTTTTAATCCAAGATAAGTCATAAGAGTATCAAGACTATTTTAAATAATCTTTTCGTTCCACAAAGTTAGAGCACTATGTATGTTTTGATCTTTTTTCAAACAGATCCTTGTAAACAATACATTGATAAATGGTGTTAATCTTTGTATTACGCGGACAAAAATAAAGTTTTAAAAAAAATGTATCCAGAACTTTCGTTCAACTTTCAATTCAATTACTGAATGCATGCTATGCTCTAAAGCGTAATTTTCATCGAACATTTCGTTACAAACAAATTGCTAGTTTCTTGCAACTGTTCGCTATAAACAAGTTACTGTAGCGCGTAACTCAGGAATGTCAGATAAGCAACACAGATAACAATGAAACTTACAGTTTGAAATGAAATCTTTCACAGAAATTACTCTACATTGAAAACGTCACAGATAATCAACCGTAACCTATATGTCACACAGTCAGCATAACATTTTGAGTAACCTGAATATTTAATACATTGCTCCGAAAACACACACACACATCACAAAACTCAATGATCAAGACCGTTTGAATAGAGAAAATACCAGGACAACTTAGTCATTGTTTGCATATGACCTTAATATTTTATTTTATATGTTACAAAAGGCTTGCTCTCAAAAAATCGATCAGTTCTTTTTTTTCATTGATCAATAATTAATAGAGGTATTATGTAAATACTGGAGCTAGTGTAACTTCATGTGATTTATCGATTAATATATGCATATATCTTTGATAAATTAGTTTTAATCAATTAACATGATCAATTTTTCGCCAAAAAGGCTGCTGGGGCACTTGGAAATCACTACAGTAAACAATAATAAAGGGAAATGAATTCCTTCTTTGTTTAAGTGTTGACGAAAATTATTCCTCTTCAACGATAGATTTTACAATGAAAATGTTATGCTTTATTGTATATGTATAAGTATGCACCAGTGAACATTGACATTACGCTATGTTGAAATATTGAAGATACATTTGAATCTCAAGGTTAATACCTACATAAAGCAGAAATAAGCTGTATTCAACAATATTCCTTAAGTCCAAGAGAGGGTCGTGTGTGATACCTGTATTTATGACAATAGTTTTCACTTTCGCATTTATGGAATAATTCTGTAGAAAAGCTCAGTTATAAAATAACATATACATTGATAAGTGTAGACTAATAAATTGAGGAAAGCTGTTATTAAACGACTGCGTTTGGCCCAGTACAATACTACCAAAAGTTGATGTGGTTAGGTTTGTGATATATATATATATATATAAAGTCAGCATAAACATAGAACTTAGTACGTACGTACACCAGTCCAAATCGGCATACCACACTAGCACACAGAAATAGAACTGACAGTTTGAATTCCGTACAAGTAGAGATTGTAGTGTGGTGCGAGCTACTTATAAGTAGTATATGACGTGAGTGAAAACGTAATGTCTGGCGGCAGAAGATGGGGGAAGATCAAGAAAGGAAGAGTTAGAAAACAATGGATTTGTATGAAAAGCATGAATAGTCACAATGGATTAATGTTTTGCAACAGGAACAGTCCAGTTCGATATGATGAACTGATATTTTGCAAATTAATGATTTACGATATGGTTTTCCAATTTTACTGAGTAACTCTGTAATTTTCGTTAAATACAATCCAGTTGCCCCACCTGTGTTCTCGTTCACTACAGTAGTACTATTAGCGGTGATGTAAAAGATTAGATATCAAAGATATGATTTTAGAAGTACAATCCAGTGAAATAAATTTAGGGAAGAAAAAGAGGTCCTAAGGAATAAAGAATATTAGAATTTGAGAGAGGACACAGAATGGATGCACCTGCTCCACTGCTGACAATTTTGAGCTATGTCATTTAAAGTCTCTGATAATCGGTTGCTATTTTGTCTCATGGACAGTAACCAGACAATCCACACCTGCCAACATGCCTCACTGAAGCTATCAATAATTGCATGGATTTGTGCAATCTGTTGGTTTGGCCGCGCCTAGCTTTCTTCCAGACAACATTGCTTGTCATGGTAGTCTGCGGTTGTGAACTCGTAATACATGTTCCAACCATCTGAGTTGATGAAGATATATATACTGAAATCGAAACAGATTTCCCATTTGTTTATCAGTTATTTTTACCATTTGCATCCCTCTATAATCAATGAATAACACTATTTTCAGTTAACTGACGTAAAAATCAGTTGATATCTGCTGTTGACGAAAAATTAAGGAATACCAGGCAATAAAAATAACGCCGATGCTCCTATGTGATTCAAACTAACATAACTAATTAATTAAAAAACGTTTGACATCAGAACTGACCTACAGTTTTTTAGTTTCATAAGAAAATGTATCAATAAAAATGTGACAAAAAACCAAATTATAAACTTTCCGCTCATTCATGTTAATTACAATGAGAAGTGTTCTTCTCCTTACATCCTCTTAACTCAAACATTGAATGTTGAACATAATAAATTTGTATAATTAGTATAACCGCGAAAATCAGATTTAATCAATCACTTATATCTTCCATATGGATCATACTACTGAGAGATCGCTGTCTTCCCTCATATATTCATTGCAGAACGATAGATATTGTCATATTTGACTTATGAGAATGTCTTTAAAGAATTTTCTCTTAACAATAAAACTTTCAGATCAAATATCATTACAGTTTATGTACGGACATGTAAATATTGTAAGCATATTAAAAACGGCTATCCGTAATACTTATTATTAAATACTTACTGAATAAGTTGTATCCAATTGTAACTGGTCATCACTAATAATCATCCAAGCTGGATAATGAATAATTCGTTTGAGTGTAATATTATCTACACTTTGATAATTACTATTCATTCCAGTAATAGTATTTGTTGAAAGTTTCGGTGTTAAATTGCTCGAGATAAATCCTTCTTCACCAATAACATTATAACGCTGTGTAAAATCAATAGTATTATTATACATGGATGTTTGGTTTATTACAGTTTTAAGTATGATAGGCATTGATTCATAGAATTCAGTTTGTTTCAATTGATTTATCCCCCCACTGTCAAATGTAGTTTTGTTGGTTATTTCAGAATGGGATGTTTTATTTTTCGAATGCGTCAAAGATGATGTTGATTGTGGCGATGATGACGTTGATGGTGGTGAAGAAGCATTGGATAGACAACTAACACGAGAAGATGATGATAAACGATTACAACGTTCAGTTATATCACTGAGCAATGATGTTTCTGGTTCATTAATTTGACCGCTTGTCTTACGTTTCGGTGGCCATAAATTCACTGAAGACAAATTGATCATTGATTTAGAAAGAGGTTTACTTGTCCTATTCAACTGGTCAATATTATTTATCTCTTCGGAATTATCGGAATTCACAAATGCATTCTCTTCATCACCAACATAAGCTCCAATACCTAGATTGCCTAGGAAAGATTCCATTTCTTGAGGAGGTGAATTCGAGTAATCAAAACTTTGATGATATTTATGAGGCTGGTGATGATGATGATGATGATGATGATGATGAGTATTCTCTATTCTCAATGCATCCGATGTTATAGCAGTTGTTGCACTGATACTGGTCATTTTCAATAAACGTAACCATCTTGGAATCTTTTTACCGGAACTGCTGGCATTCTCATCTTTAAATTGTGCTTTCAATTGTTCTCTAGCACTTTGACTAATATCACCTGTACTTTGATTTCTTCGAGCTTTTTTCTTGGCATCACTTCGTTGTTGAGCTCCTCGACCACGAAATATTTTTGGACGCTTTGAAATGCTTATATCTTCAGTTAGATTTGACATGTTGTGTGTTCACAAGAAAAGTTGTATGAATAATTGTTTGAATAATTATGAATTTAAATTATGAAATTATTTACAAGTGTATAGTTTACTGTTTTGTCATTAAACTAGACATAAAATATAAATATATCCTTGGTGTTTCGAGTAGAGCATGGGTAGTTAGTTAAATAAATCAAGTTTTTACTCCATTTAACATTTAGTCTGAAAAGAACACAATTTTCGATGAGAATTTATTTTGAACTTTAACCAATTATATCGTGTTCATAGAGTTTGTAATTCACCACGATCAGAGAGTTGTACTGTGTATACAAGTATATGATAATAATAATAATACAATCAGACAACTTTATAGTAAATAGACATGCATGTGTGCACACAATGTGTTTGTGTGTGTATGTGTGTGTGTGTGCGCATCAGTAGTATTTATACGTGTCTGCCTATCCTAGGCATAGAGAACATGATATATTATTGCTGTACAATATGTGTAGCTCACACACTATTCTAATTCACACAAATCAATAAAACCAGTCATAACGCCGCCTACGCACCAAGTTTGAGTTGGTCAGGTCAGTGTAGTATGTATGATATTTCATTGAAGAAAGTAAGACGAAATTCCTCGATGAGAAAACAATTCCGATTCGAATTCTCATATAAAATAAAATAAATATTATATTTGCTGAGTTGAAATTTAGTTGAAAGAATTGACTGTTTGATTTATGATCTAAGAATGTTTGACTTTTGATAACAAGTTTAACAGAAACTGATTTAAAAAAGCATTAGGATCTGAGAAATCGGTCTCTAGTTTTTTTCTCAAAACAAGCTATTCATTATATAAATGAAGTCTAAAATCTAGGTTTTGTTGTCAGATAAATTGCTACTTAACTATTTTTTTTTCAGAAATCTCATTCAACTTAATCATAGACAATGAATACAGAGTATTTTACTGGTATTTCGTATTGTTGCTGAATTTGACAGATATATATAAGCGAGCTAAACTTTCATGTGAATTGTACATACTAAACTGAACAGCAACATGATTGGTCAGTTAATGGACTTATCAAATTATAAATACAAGTGTAGATGTAAGTGTCATAGTCATAGTAACCGGAATGGAAACATTGACGAGATTTTTATCAACGTAAGAAAGAACCAATGGTTTTTTTTTAACTTTGGAAATCAGTAATCTCAACTTTTATTTGTATATTGATTACTTGAATGGAAACAAACAGTTACCAATAGAAATTGCTCTGGATGCATGAATGAAAATGTTCATTCAGTGAAAAAGGTTATGTGATTATATTATAATCCAGCCATAGAATGTCGATTTACAAATCAAATTGTATCTTCCATGTATTAAACGCTTATAAAATCACTTTATTCTGTAAGGAGAATTAAGAAATCATCGCCGTAAATTGTTTAAAGGACGAAACGGCCGTCTTTCAGTGCTTCCAGGTTTCTAATGGTGGTCTAACATTGATCGATTCATGGTTTCAAAAATGTGTAACTTAACAATTTTCACTACCCCGTAATGCTAATTACCTGTGCTCACTAGTGACTAGTTTCGTGGGGAATCTTCTCTGAGTTGTACTTGGGAAGCCGTGACTAGTGAGGTTCAACCTGTTCGGGTGTAGGTAGTGTCTACAGAAGACTGTGTATGAGGTTGCGCAACTCCGTGAATTTGATCAAGTTAGACATTAACACCGTTCGACACCGGCTCAGTAAAGATTGCAACTGTATTGACATACTCAAAAATCAAAACAAGCATTTTTGTAATCATCTACTCCATGTTCACTCAATATTATGTCTGATTGTTTGTGTGCGTTTTCAATTTGCTTCGTTTTTTTTATAGGATTCCAATCCGGATTGTGAAAAAATCACCCGGAACAATGAAAGTGCCACGAACTGGAGGCAATTGTAAATATTGTGAATGGAAGCAATGAGATTGATATGGTTTTTCAGTTTGTTTATTTATTCGTTCGTTCGTTTGTGTGTGTGTGTGTGTGTGTTGGTCTGTTTACTTACTCTGTTCTTTATTGTAGTTGTAAAATCAATTTTTCAAGGCTTCGTTTATGAAAATCCCTCAATATATATTTGTGTGGTTCGTTCTTATTGATTCCTTCAGTTGTACATTTTGTTAGTCTGTTCGATTCCATTTGAGATGATAATATTTGTATTTCATTATAGTTTCTATTTCTTTTGCCTTCACTGAGTTTCAATGTTCCTTTCTGAACTGCATTTATGTTGTTTAAGCTGATACTTAGTCATGGCGAAAGCCATATTGATTTGTTCCTCTTTTGATTGTGTCGGTTGCTTGGTTTGACTGGAATTGTACATTTTTATTGTGAATCGAAGCACTCTTCCAGAACTGGAAGAACACTGTGTTATAAAGCAACCAAATATTATCTTTTGAAGGAATCTGATCTATCCAGGAGGGATAGAATATCACTTATTTGTTGCTGTTGATTTGATTAATTGAACAATTGTTGGTGGAATAACTGATTGGTAATATTTGTTTAGGTAATGATGTAAATTTATATTTATGATGAATATTAGAACCGTCATTTACGCAAATCACTTTCTTTTTGGTTTCAACTGGGTAAATCACGTATCTAAACTACCTGGCTGACAAATTTTTCCCTAGTCAACTCTGTCCTGGGCTTCCCTTACTAATTCTGTTCAGCTTTTGTTCATTCTTCTCATATCTTTCTCGATTTCTCGGCATAACATGTTCTTTGGCCTTCCTCTTTTCTTCTAACCTTAAGGGTTCCAAGTGAGGGCTTGTCTTGTGACAAAGTTGGTTGCTTTCCTCAATGTATGTCCTATCCACTTTCATCGCTTCTTCCTGGTTTCCTTCTCCACTGGAACCTGGTTTGTTCTCTCCTACAGAAGGTTGTCACTGATGTTATCTGGCCTACGAATCCGAAGTATCTTTTGTGTAGACAACTGGATGATGGCTTTCGTAGTTTTCAAAGTTTTCACCCCTTACAGTAGAACTTTTTTGACATTTCTATTAAAAAATTCTGATTTTGGTTTTGATTGATAGTGGTTTTGAATTACGGATGTTTTTCAATTTCTAGAAATGCAACACTTGCACATATGATATTTATGAGTCTTCAAACAATAAAAAATGACTGATCTATTCTTGTTTCAACAGTTTCATTGTTAACTATTTACCATGAGCTGATAATTGATGCCTCATCAATTAACTGCTGACACAGTAAGACAAAGTGTTCTGAATTTTTCACATTTCAATGAAAATCACCTTGAAAGGATAAATCTCACTTCACTTTAGTAACAAAAGCATCATCCTGAAATGCAAATTGTTTACAAACTAAAAGTACAGACAACCATTTAGAAAAGGGCAAAGGTCATAACGATTAAACAAGTGCATTCACACTTAAAATAAACAAGTTACAAAACTCAATAATCCTATGATGATTTTTAATTTTACCATGACAATCCTCATAATCTCCGACTTTATTGAGTGAATTACTTAACAGTCAATTAGATTCATACTAAGAGGATAAACAAATCCTAAATAATGCTTCCAGGTTTCGAATGGTGGTCTAACATTGATCACTTCATGACTTCACAAAATCATTTCTCTGTATTTTTGCTATGAAACTAAGAGAATTATTTCTGTACACATTTGAAATCAACAACCAGTGACTGTTAGGTCACCAGTGGAAACCTGGAAGCACTGGACGGCCGTTTCGTCATGGTATGGGACTCATCAGCAGTGAGTGCACACTCCTGATGTGTACAAACACAAACCCCTAAAACTCTGCCCAAAAATATCCTAACAGTGCTCACTAGTGACTAGCTTCGTGAGGAAATTCTCGGAGTGATAGTTGAGAAGACGTGATCAATGGAGTTCAATCCTGTCGGTTGTAGGCAGTAACTACCAAAGACAAATGAGTGAGATCGCGCAAAATCCCTAGATCAATCAGAGTTAAACATTAACACCGTTGGATGCCGGCCCAGTGATCCGATGGTAAGGCGTTCGCCTATAATGCCGAAGGTCCCGTGTTCGAATCGTGCCAGTTGCAGGAGTAGTGGATGCGCACTGTTGATGAGTCCCATACCAGGACTTGACGGCCGTCTAGTGCTTCCAAGTTTCTAATGGTGGTCTAACAATGATTGATTGTTGATTTCAAATGTGTACAAACACAAACCTCCAAAACTCTGCCCGAAAACTATTTTTGTAAGTCTAATTCTATGGGTCAATTCCTACTGGTCAATGTTATGGTCGTCCTAGCTATCAATGTCACGTACTTCAATGTTGTTTCCCATTGGTTATCCTGACTGTTGATGTCACAGACTTCGATGTTGGTTCTTATTCGACCTAACTGCATAAATACGCATTATCTGTAACGTTTTATGACTCGGACCTGGAACCGGATTCCTAGTCTGGGGTCCTTATCCTCTTCTGGACTCGGACCTCGTACTTTCTGGATGCTTGTAGAATACATGTTCTACCTCATATAAAGTCTTCTACTTTTACTCAATGGCGGGTTGGGACGCATGGATTAGAGTAGCATGTCATGTCACTGGATCCTCGAACTTGCTCACGTTTTCCGGCTAAGGTAAACTCGTAATAGTTCAAGCATATCAAATTGACCGTGTTTACGTGCATGCATAACAGAAACTAAACTATCAAGAATTTTATTTGATATTTTTGAAATCTACCTATTGTTTTCATATCTCAATATTCGATAATCATACAACTGATAACTTGTAATACAATAAAATCTTCTTTTTTTTCCATTCAATAAACATATGTTATCATGGTATGTGTTAGTTGAGTTCATGTTGTAGTGAAGGAGAAGACAGGTGAGTGCAACCGAAATGTATTTATCTCAAATTACAGAGTTAATTGGTAAAATAGAAAAACCATATCGTAAATCGTTCATTTGCAAAATATCAATCCATCATATCGAACTGGACTGTTCCTGTTGCAAAACATCAATCCATTGTCACTATTCATGCGTTTCATACAAATTCCATTGTGTTCTAACTCTTCCTTTTTTGATCTTCCCCCTTTGTTCTGTTG